ATCCTGGTTGTATAAGGAGCAGCACTGCTGAGCTCCAAGGGGAGCAAAATTGATTGCTGGATGTAATGCAGGGCCTCGAGGTAAGAGCATACATTGGTGTGGTTCACTGTCTGCTCCTGTACACTGTATGGGATGTGACACCTCATGTGTTTCATAGGCAGACTTGGATATGCAGGCCTGTTCTTGAACAGTGCATCAGGGGATTTTTTTTCCCATCTCAGGAGAGATCTAGAACTGTGTTTCTCAGTCTTCAGGATTTCCCAGTCTTACTATCTTTTTGGGAAAAATATAAAATCTAGAAAACATGTTTCTGCCCCCAAAAGTAGAATATAAATCTATTTCCTTTTCTGTTGTGAGGCAGGGCATATTCTTGCCATAGGTTCCTACATACTGGTCTCCAAATGAGCTTAGTTTTCTGTATCAGTCTTTCAAAATCTCTTCCTCCTTATTTCCACCAGTAGCCTTAGGGCCCACAAAGCTGTAGATGGATATTATGGAAGAAAATTAGCAGGGCTGCAATCTTCCTGGGAAACCTCCCCAGTCTGTCAGGGTTGTGGTGACATTAAGGATTTACTGTGTATCATTGTGAAACTAAAAATACCAAGAAGATGGTGTGCAGATCCTGAAGGGGAAATAATACAGCTTTGACTTGCAAAATACAAAATGTGGAAGGGAATTGCTGAAGCCCGTGTGCCACGATTGCATCCGTGCAATAAATACAAGCTTCCTATTAGAAGAGTGCCAATTACTCTGAAGTTTTGCAGGAAGGGAAGGGAGTGCAGGGATAAAACACTGAAACATGGGAGTTAGGTTAAGGGGAATTCTTTTCATTTCTTTTTCATTATTCATTTTGAGAGCTGAAGCTCTTAGCAGTAGGTGAACTCATACTGTGGTGACGGTTTCAAAACAAATTGCTAAGCCATGGCTTTGATTTGCGCTAAAGATGTGGCAGCGTGTTATGGAGTGACGCTTCCCAGGCCATCCATCAGTTTGAATTGTGCTCTAAAACAAATGTAGTTCCTCTCTCTGGTGAAATTAATGTGATCAAATGCTACCCCAACCTCCTATTGGGGAAGAAATTGCTTTTGATACCGATTTCATCTTCATTCTGCAAACTGATTTATGTGCCTTAGTAAGTTAATAATGTAAGTAATGTGGGTAATCCTTCTCGGAAAACAGCACCAGGCGGGCTGAAAATTCGAAGTTGCGGCCTCTCTTGGGGACTGGGTGGGCAGGAACAGATCTGGAAGTCTCTGTAGCTAGAAACCCTCTTGGTGCTCTTTTGTCAGGGCACAAATCTCCCTTGATGGCTCTTGTTTGCAGCCTTCCTGCAGTGCCTATGGCTCTTGAGGAGGGATGGAAGATCCCAGAGGGTCACACTGTCTCGCTGAGATACAGGTTTATGTTAGGGTTGACTGAGAAGCTTCTCCTAACAACAGGGATGCCCCCTCCCTAGTGTCTAGACTCTTCCTGTTAGAATCATTTGTTGTCCTCAGAATTTTTCATCCCCCTTTTTCCAATCTCCATCTTGAGGAGACACATCCTGTTTCCAGGTCATTACCCTGAAATATTGTGCTATTAATTGCCGGGAGCTTGGCTGAGATTGCTCTTCTGATCCACGTTCCTCTGTCGCCAAGTATTTCTCGGGTATTGCAGAAGTTTAAACTTCTCCATTTAGTTAGCAGTGCAACTTTGAGTACCCTTTTCATACCAAATTCCTGTACCAAATACTGCATTTGAGTAGGAGGCTCAGGTAGCATTGCTCGCTGCCTCAGAACATAAAAGTGGAATTCCCAGGGTTGCTTGGAATATTGCTCTTCTGAAGAACGGATACCTTCTAACTAGCAAAAAGTCTCAACTATTGGTTTAAAAGCTGTGTTTAGTTGCAGAGCAGTTTACTGGAGAGAGGAAAATAGATCCAGATCTTTGGGAGAATAAAATACATAAAGCAAGAATGTGAATAGCTATGGAAATCACTAGCACTTCTTTTTCTAAAGTGACTTGTGTGTCTTCAGCTTGAATGATACCTGTTGTACCTTGGATGGAAAGTGATAGTTCCTTACTGGGCTTGTGGATTTCCTGGTTGTCAAAGATGCTAATGTTTATAATGCAAAGTTACAAATATACGAAAGTCTGGGTGGTTTCAGCCTCTCTGCTGCTTTTACCCATCCATGAGCTCTGCGTAAGCAGCTCGTGGTTAATGGATTATAACAAAACTTTGCCTTAAAATCCTCAAATCTGTAGTTTTCTGCTAGAAAAAGGTCTAGTGTTGTGGCACAAATAATTGCATATATGTCATTCCTTTGAGAAAAACATGTGCTTCTGTTGTTCAAGGTTATTAATTCAACCTGCTGCTTAGCAAGGCTTTAGGATAACACTGACTTATCTCTTGGTAAAAATGTGATCTATATATTTCTTGCAGCAGTAATCTATTGAGCAGGTCTTATTAGAAGATCATAACTATTTTATTTGGTCCTTATTTTCAGTTAATATTTTTCTCCAAGTTACTTTGTTGCATCTATCCAACAAATCACTTAATGCATTAAATCATACGGAAATAGCGAGGCTGTTTTGTACTGTAGGCTCTAAACACATTACTTCTTGGCAGCTTTATACCTTACCCTGGTTTTATTCTTTTTCTTACTGCAGTTGATGTTAGGTTTTTTGTTGTCCCAGTGGAAGATGCTCCATTTTAATCTCTATAAAATGAACACCAACTTTCTCAAGTGATCTTGACTTAAATGTCTGAGGCTTTTAACTAAACATAACCAAGTTATTGTGGCACTTCTGATGGGGGAACGAAGATCGTGAGAGTTGGTAAAATTGCAGATGGAAAATGTGGAAAATTTAGCTTCCAAAGTGGTGATTTTGTGTTCTGATATAAGCATACTCTTTATTTTAGCATTTATTATGTGAGCTGCCTGCTCTCAGCTTGAGTGCTTGCTCCCAAGTGAACACTGCAGCGTGATTTGGGTGAATATTACGGCATCATCAGGAATGGGGACAAATTTGGACAAAAACCAGCTAATATATTGTTTCTTTGGGCTCAGTATGTTTATGCAGCACTATAGCCAGCAATGTGAAATGTTATAAAGTCTTTCTGGGCTCCAGAACAATTGCTGTAGGGTTCATTTTATTTTCTATTTTGACTGATTAAATAATAGTGGCAATGCTCTCTGTATCCATTCCATCCTACCCATGGAAAGCTGCAATGTGGAAGGGAAACTCAAATAAAAGGCCACATTAGTGTCTCGCTGAAAATAACACTTGCAAATTTTCTTTGCATATGCAACAAATTCCTCCCTAGAGGAGAAATGGGAATAACAGGTTTGCGTTGTATGGAGACAAAATTTAAATGTGAAAAAGAGCTATTTTTCATATGAAAATCTATTCTTCTAAGCGGGAGAAGGTTGGAAAATTGACAGTGTCGGCTGGCTGTGTGTCATTTAAAACTTTAATTTTAAGCCTATTTGTTTTTAAAGGAATAAACAAAATGGTAATGCAGAGTTAGCTTTTGATATGTGTGCAAATGAATATCAAATCAGTGCTATTCAAATTCAATAGCTGGGAGAAGTGGAGGATACTATGCTAGGTTGCCATGAATTCGGGTAATAAAAGAGCTGAGCAGAGGATGTTGGAATAAACTGTATTTTGAGCCACCACTTGCTGACCTGGGAGATGACTGAATCCTGCATTGCTGATTTCTAAGCAATTGTATTCAAAGATGCTAAGATCTCCTTTAAAGCTGCATCCATTTTAAACTTAATTTATATTATAAATGTTATATATATATATATACACACACATATAAATATATAAAACATTCATGTTGCCAGCTAATGCTGTAGTATCCTGAGCTATATGTTGTTTAATTGGTGGAAAAGTACACTAATATTGAACCTCTTACAGTGTAAGAGGGATAATCCAGCAATAAATGTGCAAAATGGTCCCAAGATTCTAGTTATTGGGCATTAATGGTTAATTAAAGGTGTGTGGTGGCATCTTTTGTTGCAAAAGCAATAGAAGCCAATAAGTATAATTTATTCTTGGTCTCCTCTGGCCGTTTATTCACTGGATGGGGGAACAGTTGAATAGAGCAGCAAGAATCCATAGAAAAGAAGGAACAGAAGGCAACTGTTCTCTGCTTCCCCTTTTTAAGTACAGGAATTTTCTTCTTTTTTGCTGTTTTTTTTTGCTCAGAAATTGTTATGCTTCTGCATGCTCTGTTATGCACAAGTTGACCCTGAGAGTGTTGATCAGAAGATTGAATTTGCAGCTCTTGAAGAATACAACCATTTTCAGTAAAAGAAGCAGCGCTTCTTTCCTCTTAAAGGCTAGATTTACTCCTTAACCTTCAATTTTCTGAGCTATCAAAATGACTTTCTTCTGTAGCTTGCGTGTGTTCCCAGGTGATACTTTAGCAGTAAGAATCTCTCCACTGTAATAATGTTTAGATTTGTAGCTTTGGTATCCTATTTGTCTCTGTACTGTTGTCTGTGTAACAGCGTATGGACTGTTTTTTAAAAGTTTGGATCTCCTAAAACTTGCCTGCTACTTGAAACTGGCTATAAATGCTTTTCTTTCAGGCTAGCTAAGTTTTGAGAATTTTTTTTCCTAGGGAAATTTAAAGGGACTGAATGAGTATTTTAGCTTTGCATCATATTTGGTTTAATTACCCTTCTAAGATCCACTTTTCCTCTTGAAAAATAACTTTTAAGATCTTGTAAGATCTGCTTGTGTGTTTTAGGCCCCATGCAAATATTTTTGCCTAATAAAGCATTTTGAGGAAAGGTATGAACAGGAAAAAAAAAAAGAGGTCTAGGAGGAAATGAGCCACATAGCAAGGATGTGCTAACCGTGTGGGTGCTGCTATGTAATAATTGCAATTTATTAGCTACTAGACCTGTTGCATTCTTATTTTGGAGCAAATAACTAACAACTGTGGCAGCTATTTGTGTTCTGTGCTACTTTAATGACACGTTTTATTATTACTTGACAGGATGCTGCGCCTCCGCCTCCTTCCCATTGCAGCAGGGCTGTCCGCCGTCTCCCGGCGCTACCATGGGACAACGCGTCACCCCGGGGCCAGGCGGAGGCTCGTGGTGGCAGCTTTCCTGGGGACAACGGCAGTGACGGCGAGCGCTAGGTTCCTGTGGCAGAGGTAATGTTGCTCTTATTTCTTGCCCAAGACCTCATGCTGCTTTGGTGCTTCAGAAAGTACCTGTGATTACGTTGAGGATCAGCTGCCAGGTGCAGGAATAGCTGCTGAATCTTCCCAAGGACCTTCTTGTAGTCAGAGAGGTGCAGGAAGGCTCAGGGCTCAAGAGCTGTAGGGGCAAGCTACCTTTCAGTGGTAAGACTGCTGCAGGCAAGATTTATCTATATGTATTTTAGACCCAGAGTCTATATGAGCATACCTTTTCATGAGTCACAAAGCTCCTTTCCATAGCTGTCAGGGGAAAGGCTGTATTTGTGTTTGCCTTAAACCCTTGCTGAACTCTGGGGCTGTGCCCTGTTTGTAATAAATCAAGGGATCCTTTCACTTGCCTTGAAACAGGAGAGCTACACGGCACCAGCAGCAGTGCTGGAGCCCAGGGCCGCAATTACAGAGTGTCTGTAGGTGAAGACATCTCTGGAAAACATGTTTTGTTTCCTTCCTGATATTTTGGAGGTGGCTTCTTGCTGGCTCACTTCACATCCGCCTCCTCCCCAGAGACCAGGTGAATTCTGTGAGCAGACTTAGGGTTTCTCATTTGTTCACTGCTAACCTGCTGTGTGGCTACAGGATGGTCAAGTCAGTAGAACATAATGTCCTTGGCAAAGCCCTCCCAAAGACACCCGGGTTAAGCTCTCCCTCTTGCAGAAGATTCACCTGAGCTTTTAAAAATAGCCAGACTTAGTTGTTAGCTTTATCAGAAGGTTGATTTCATCAGAAGGAAGATGCTTCCTGCACGGGAGAGCTGCTAATGGGATGCTGAGTGCTATGTCAATAGCGCAGGAAGGGAAACTCTTCTTGGCTCCTCTTTTGGCAGTACTTGGCTGGTCCTTAGAGGCTCCTCACTGTTGTCACCAGGTTTGACCTTGCTCAGCTGAGAGTACAGATAAAATCAAGTCAAGGAGATAAGCAGTACCTTTGCTGTGGGGTATCTGTGATCTCCTGAGCTCTAATCAATCTGCAGAGACTGATTTGAGCAATTTTGCACAGTCTTTTAATGCTAAGTAGGATTGCAAAGCCTTGGAGGTGTCCCTTATATTAGCTGTGAAGTTATCTGCCATGTACCTAACTGTAGGAAGGGGAAAAAAAGTACATTTAGGCTTATGATATTCATTCAACTGCTTGACTTGCAGCTGTTAGAGGAGGAACAAAACTGATGTGTGGTGCAGAAAATACTTCCTGTTGGCACTTGTAGAAGCTCTGAACAGATTTTCAAAAAAGCCCTCTAGTGCAGTGTTTAGCTAAATGAGGGATGAGGAACTGCAAGTTTTCTTTCACTTTTCATATAAACTAGGTGATTAGGGGAGTTTAAAAGAAGCCCAGGTGAATGCTGAATATTTGCAATGACATCCTGGGTTATTCAGTCATTTTGCAGCAAGCAGCGCTGCATATACTGAATTAGTTAGAAAAGGTAAATGACTATATAACACATCTGGCAAGGATTTGGGGATCAAAAAAAAGGCCTGTGTCGCAGAAAATGCATCCACTTAATGCCTGTATTTACTCTGGAGTCAGTGATTTTGGTTTTTTAAATGGGAGCCAGGTTCTTTAGGAAGATCTTTACATAGAGGCCTATGAGTGCAGTTACTGTACAGATGCCATACAGTGCTTGTCTTCCTTCAATTTCTTAAGCAAATGTGCTTTTGTTGTTACATGAAGCCTTGCTGTGCTGCACATTTAGTCTCCTGAGGGGTTCTGTGTTGCTTAGGTATCTCTCTTGACGATACAAAAAGTTCCCTCCCCTTTGGTGGTGGGTGATGCTCAGGAACAATGTGTGGCTGCTGATAATCTCCTTGACCTTGTGTGATCTCTTACTGAAGCTGAGGCCCTTCGTTGCCCTCTAAATAAGGAACTGTATGTACTACATACTTCTGTATGAAGTCGCCCTCTTCTCTTTTTTCCCATAATTCTTCTTCCTTAAAGTTATGGCATTAAAGATGGAATAGGACAAACTTAGGAGTGTTTGAAACCCTTATGCTTCTAGGGCTAGCGGAAATCTAGGTAAGTAGGAAATGATGCCCTATTAGAGGGATTATTTGTGCAAATACCCTAATTCTTGTCATTCAGCACAGAGGAAGCACTACCTCTCGCTTATGAAGAAAAGAGGAAAAGAGCAGCACTTTTTTCCCAGTTTTCACAGACCCAGATTTGTAGTTCTTAGAACCGAACGCCTTGGAAAAGGGATTAATGCAGTGATTATGTGAACTTATCCTATGTGAAGTTACTCCTTCCATTTAGTAGCGTGAGGAAAGACAGGGCATCCTCAGGTGGTGGCTCTGGCTCTCACAGAGAGCCTGAAAAGAGCATGTTTCAGACTGCTTCCACAGGAAACACTTTGAGGACCATCAGAAGCAAGAGCTGGGGTCAGGAAGCCTGCATAAGGGTACAGGGGCCAGTCAAGAGTTTAAAAGATGTTCTTTAAAAACCCCTGTGGTAGAGTAGAGGGAAGCAAAGGTTTCTCCTCTGACCCCCCCTTAAAACTGGAAGTGTGATGATGGGATCATCACATTTAATCTACTTCTGTACAAGGAGTTCCTCACAGTACGTGCTGGGCTTCCTTCCCCTGTGAGCTATGGCTACGTGCTTTATATATTTAAAATAATTATACACAAGTAGCTAATGCTGTTCTGTTCTGCTGTGACAAACTGTACTTCACTAATGCAAATAACTGAGCTTAAACTAATGAATTCACAACTCAGAAGCTATAACTAACGCTCTGGGGTTTTTCATTTGGCAACAGAAGAGATTAAATATCTGGGCATTAATATAATAAACTGAATTGACTAATTAATTGAAATAAATCTTCATGCAATCATTGGTTAATCTAAATGAGGTGTTAATATATGAGAACTACTGAACCTTACAGTTTACTGCAAGCTTATTATTAAAATAAAATCCATTCTTGATAGTCTTGTGAATCTCATGGTCTGTGTCTGTAATTTCAGACCCTGAGTTGGTGCCTCACTAAATGGCCAAAGATTATTTTCTCTCTCTCGTGAACCATCCTGTCTGGTAGAATCTGTGGGTAGTGAACACCTGGAAGACCTTAAATCAGGAATTCTACCCTGAAACTTGTCACTAAATTGAGCCAGTATTGAGGGAAATCAATGCCTGAGCAGACTTGCACTCTCTAGGTGTTTCCCTTCCTGTGTGGAATGAGGCTGCTCATTTTCTGTGCTGGAAGCTGGTGCATATGGCTCCTGCTTCCTAAAGATCTTGGTGTAGAATAGACTCAATGAAGAGATAAGAATGAAGAGGAGTTATGGTCAGCTTGGAGGTCCTGCACTGTGCATGACCTAGCCTGGGCTCAAGTAATGGCCTGAGTGATCTCCTTTTTGCTGAAAAAATCTGAGTTTTCAATACATCTTTACCTTTCTTTCCCTTTCTTCCTGGATATTTCCTTGGGCCAACTGTCATCTCTGCTTGCTTTCCCAAAAGATTCTCTTGAGGAAACACCATTTCTTTCTAACCTTCCTCCCTCTGCTGACACAAAGAGCTTCTGCTTTTTCTCTTCCCTTTGCATGGGTTCTTTCCCTCAGAGCCCCTACAATTAATTTTGAAGCCTAGATCAGCCCTTAGCTAACTCTGTTTAAGAATGTATTACTTTTTCCATCGCAGTCTTGGGGACTTTAGAGTAATTTGCTTAGAATACATTTTTAATGATGAGATTGATGGAAATACTTTATGCCAGCTGAAATGGAGACACTTTTAATTTTTGTTCTAGTGAAATAAAGAAAATGACATAAATCCTTCAAGAAGGGAGAAGTGTGTTTTATAGCTATAGATATATTGAGTACTACTTGACCTGATATAGGAAATCTGAAAAATGTAGATATTTTCCTTGAGGCATTATTTTTATTTTGAGTTGTTTTTAATTCCCTTTCTCAGGGGTTGGAGAGGCGGCAGTTAAGGGACTGTGCATGAGGTTGCTGTGCCAAGGATTTTCTTCCAAGGCCTGGAGACACATATAGATCTATGAGTGGTGTCTTCAGAGAGCACTGTGTCCTTTCTGGTGGCTTTTGGCTTCGTATTATTTTTACCCGTGAACAGCAGGGGAAGGAAAGAAGCTGATGCCAGGGAAAGAGCCAAAGCCAAATTTGAGTCAGTTAGGAAAACATCGGAACTGCTCTGCAGGGAAGTCACCTTAAGTGAACTGCAAAGTTTAAAGCACAGGTATTTCCCTAAACCTCTAGGGTCATGGAATTTGATTAGCGAGTGTGTGTGCTCACCAAGTCTTATTTAAATGTTGCCTTGTGCAAATCCCGGATCTCATTTGCCTCGGAGCCTGCTGGAGGTGCCAGGAACTGCTTCCTGAAGCATCTTGTCTCACTATGACTTTCCTTCTCCTATGGGGACTAAACTTCACATTTTCTATCTCATAAGCCAGAAAGTGTTTTGAACTCTTTAGGCTTTTAATGTCACTTGAAATTTATTTTTTTATCTGTTTTTTAAGCAATATGGATGCCCTCTGGTGGCCAAGTCATTGCCTACTGCTTGCTCTTTATCCCAAACAGCTATTAATCTGAGCTCACCTTACCTGCCTGGCAACCAGCCTGTTGGCTGACCTCCAGGAGCTCTGTGGAAAGCAATACCTTTCCAAGAAGTTATCTGGGAGTGGAGCACGGGAAGAACTTCCTGGCTGACAAGGAAAGATGTCAAGTGTGTGATTAATACACTGCAAGTACTATCTGATTTTGATCAACTCTGGGCTTGGAAGGAGAATGCCCATGAAGTCATGAAGTGTTGCCCCTTTGGGATCAGGTCTTCTCCTGGTGTCTCCTTCCCCAAGATGCTCAGTTGACTCTCAGACTTGCTGGTGAGAGCTCTATGCTGTTTTTGAGTGATTAGCCCACAGGGTTGTCTGTTTCTAGACCAGGTTTCAGGGGAATTAAGAAATCTAAAGGCATCTTGTTCCCCTCACAACTTCCTATAAAATAGTTGAAGGT